CCCAAAAAACAGAATCATAAAACAAGAGTCATGCCATGTCACCAGAACCATGCCATATGACTGTGGAGTGAAACCTCCAAAAGGGCGAACCAAGTAAATCTTCTCCCCTCATGAACTAATTATCTGAATTATTTTGTTATTATAACAGAAAACTTACACATAATGGGTGGAGTACTTGAGCAAAAAAAGGACAATAATTGTACAATTGACAATTCAACTTCGAAAGTGGTATTCATTGAGGATCCAGAAAGAGAAGAGTTCTCAAAACATTCGAAGCAACCATGCTCTATCCAGGGGCTTTCAAAAATGATGTGATTTAATCGAGTGTTTGTCCACATCTATACTAGTGAAATTTCTGTTGGACTTTTCCCCTGTAAAAATCCCCTGTAAGATACAGAAAGGTAATAATGAGGGTGCCTCACAACCAGTTATATACAGCATATTCTTCTGGACGATTAACTTAGTATGAAAATAAATGACATGTTCAATGATTTAAGACATAGAATCCTTTAAGCATGTAAATATACATGTAGAGAGCTGGATTATATGGCACTTTGGTCTATTTCAATGAAATACAAAATTCCAGCACCGTAAACCAGAAAAAAAATCAAAATTTCTTGACTTCCTGAAAAAAAAGACATACATTATGGTAGCTAAGAAACATGGTTTCAACTACATAAAATTTCATCTATATTTCTATGGAAAAGAGACTCTATAAAAACCTTCAGATTGCCATTTATTTCCATGCTACTTCAAAAGATAATATGTAACTGATAATAAATGCAGTGCATTTATAATTTATAATGTGTTGTATCACTTATAAAAATAAACATTTCTAAACTTTTAACATCAGGGTGATCTAAGTTTTATTTTTTCCCCATCCCTTCCCAACCCCTACCCCCCCTACCCGATTGATCTAAGTTTTATATGTCCCTCTGCCAGTACATGGTCAGATTGTAATTTGGAGTGCAAGTGACACCTTAACTTCTTGGTTGACTTCTCATTGGGAGCAGCAACTGAACACAAACATTAGGGCTGGGCACTGGTAGCTCAAGACTGTAATCCTAGCTACATAAGAAGGTATAACCCCTGTTTTCACTGTATTTGATGTTGGTATAATCTGTGGAGGGGAAGGGAAAAACAAATTGTTTAAATAGGGATACAGGTGGACCCTCTGGCGCGGAGGGGGGGGGAGGAGGTGGATGATAAGTGGGGGAAGATGGGAAGGGGAAACAAAGGAGGAGGCAGCAATGCTTAATAAGAAATGCACTCATTACCTTGCCCATGTAATAGTAACCCTTCTTTACTGTATTTTCACAATTAAAAAAAAAAAGGTGAGATCTAAGGATCATGGCTGAAAACCTGAGCAGGAAAGGTGAGCTTCTTATCGCAAATTAAACACTAGAAAACCAGAAGTAGCCATGTAGCTTAAGTGGTAGAGCACTAACCTGGAAGCAAAAATGCAAGGACAGTACCCAGGCCCTGAGTTTAAGCTCTATGACCAACAAAAAGAAATCATGAGATTGCAGTAAGACTGTATATGCAGCTCATTACCATATTCTACTGAGGCAACGTATGTGTTACTTTGGGACATCAGAATATAGTCCCTGCACCAATATGAACACAACTCTGGATAAACTGGTATGGAATAGTCATGAGTCAATGATGATAGTCATTAATGACTGTCATCATCAATATCCATTCTCATTGATTCCACCAAAGCAGCTACTGTTAAATTTGAGGTTTACTGTCTATCTTTGCGTGAAGATGCTATGAAAGATTTCTTCATGAAATAGATCTAGAAATTGGTAAAAGACTTGCCCAAATATTCATTGTGGAATCTTATCCCAAAGCCTCAATTTTCTTTACAAAACATTCTGATGTTCTCTAAAGCTCTAAAGAGATGTAGTGGGTAGTAAAAGAATTACATCTTGAGAAAATTACTTGTCCTTGAGTAGATTAGCTTCTACTTTAGGAAATTAAAATATTTTCCTACATAACCAAAATCATTCCATCACATTTCTGTGAATAGCAGCAACTCCATAGCAGACCAAAAAAAGTTGTAAACTCAGGTTTCTCTTGTTTATACATTCTTTGAATAATAACAAAACTTTATTATTATTGTTACTATTATTGTTATTGTTATTATTATTATTGGTCCTGGGGATTGAACTCAGAGCCTGGCAGCTGTTTCTGAAATCTTTTGCTGAAGGTTAGTGCTTGGCCACTTTGAACCACAGTGCCACTTCTCCTTTTGTGGTAGTTAATTGGAGAAAAAAGTTTCTTGGCATTTCCTGCTTAAGTTGGCTTTGAGCTGCGATCCTCAGAGCTCAGCCTGCTGAGTAGCTAGGATTACAGGCATGAGCCACCAGTGCCTAACTCAAATGATACATTTTAAGGCCTAAAATCCTGATCAAATTGATTTCTTTATTAAACTAACATTATGTATATCCTAATATGAAGCAAATGAATTAGCAGTTCTTTTAGAAATTTGAACATGAACTCAAAACCATCAGAGTTTACTTGGAGGGTTAAAGGTCAAAGGAATAGTTTACTAAATTGTAGGTATGATTGAGTAATCCTGGGAAAGGATTTGTGCAATATGGGAGAATTGATCTATGGTAGATTCCACGAAGGTTTTAAATGTATATCTCTTACTTTTGTACTTTTGAAAATACACATTCATTTCCTTGTAAATATTAATACACAGATACAATACAGGATTTTAAATGTCTATCTACTAAATTTATTTATAAGTTTATGAACAATTTATAAAAATATCAATGTCACCATACATAAGTACGTAAATGTGTATGTTTACTAACTGACTCTTTAATACAACATCTTGCCTATATTATTCCATCTTATTAAGGAAAATACATGGTATGCTCAAAATAACAGTTTTTTTATTGCCCAGTCTTTTATTTTCTCTATGAAACGATACTCACTACACTGAGCCAAGGAGGAAGGCCAATAGATAGATTATTTGAACTACAAAGATTTAGAATTTCTACATCTTACTCCTGGAAAATTTTGACTTCATGAAACAGAAGACCTGCCGAAACTCTGCCTAAGAGAAATCTATTCCTACTATCTTGGTTTTATTTATTCTGTATTTTTTGTGTAAAGATGACTCTGCACCTTTCACTTAAGGTAAGGGAGCTAGGAGTACTAGAGTAAAACATCCTGCCAGTTACCAACTCAAAGATTCATTCATTCAGCCGGGTACCCATGGATCATGCCTATAATCCTACCTACTCAGGTGGATGGGATCTGAGGATCTTGGCTCAACACCAGCCAGGGAAGGAAAGTCCCTGAGACATTTTCTCCAATAAACCACCAAAAAACCAGAAGTGGCACTGTGGCTCAAATGGTAGCGTGCTAGCCTTAAGCTGAAGAGCTGAGGGACAGCCCCCAGGACCAGAGTTCAAGCCCCGAGACCAGCCCCTCCCCCCAAATAGATACATATATTCACATAAGTGTCTGCATTTTGTTATTGTCATAGACAAAAGCAGTATCTAGCACCATTTTTCATTATGAGCAGGTAAATCAAGGTCTTTGTAAACAAACATATCACAAATAATCATACATTCATTCAAAATACATTTCAGTGGCAATAGTATAATGGAATTAAGTGCTGAATGTTTAGAGAAAAAGTTGATACAAAGAATGTTGCAAGTAGTAACACTGATAAAGATGCATTGTACTCAGAAAATAAAGTGTTTAATTAAATTATTAATATTTTAATTTTATTTTATTGTAAAGATGCTGTTCAAAGGGGTTAGTTACATGAGTAAGGCAATGACTACATTTCTTGTCAAGCATTGTTACCCCTTCCTTTTTCATTCTCCTACTATCCCTTTCCTCCCCCTAACTGAATTATTTTTATACAACTACTGAAGAAAATTAGAATATAAGTTTATAAAGTACTATATTACATTGGCCAAAAAATTCTGCTTAAATGGAAACACTGCAACAAGTAATAAATATTGTTTAAAAAGTTATTGCAAGTAAAGATGACAAGCATAGTTATAGAAATTATCCAAGTTTCATTCATTAACTTGCCATCTACACAATGTGCCTCCTACACACTGATTAGATCACAAAATGAGAGGAAGACACAGCATGGAAAGCAGTTAGTCACAAGGACAGTTCCCAGAAACTCCAAGGGCAGCTAAACAAGATCAGGCTCATTAAAGAGCAAAATCCAATTGGAGAGGGAAGCTGGAGCCAGATACTTATGAGGAGTTTGAAGCATCAGCACAGGGCACTGGAGGGCAACAAAGAGTGAAATGTAAGAGAAAAACGATCAGATTTCTTGTTTTACTTTTAAAAAAAACTCTCAAAATGCATTTAGCATATTTAAATGCCATGAATAAGGTCATGAAAAGGGAAATTATTCAGAAGGTAGGTACCAGAGGTCATGCAACAGATGAAGGAATCTAGCCTAGCAGGTTCATGGTAATGACTGTGCTTGTATAATACTAATACCACTTGGTACCATAGTTCTTTTTTTTGGGGGGGGGGAGAAGGGGGGTTCGGTCGTGGGGCCTGAACTCTGGGCCTGGGCACTGTCCCTCAGCTCTTCAGCTCAAGGCTAGCGCTCTACCACTTGAGCCACAGTGCCACTTCTGGCTTTTTTCTTTTTGCTTACGTGGTGCTGAGGAATCGAACACAGGGCCTCGAACATGCAAGGCAAGCGCTCTACCACTGAGCCACCTTCCCAGCCTTGGTACCATAGTTCTGAAAACACACAACAATATCAATAAAACACTTAAGATATCCGTGGAAAAAGAAAAAAATAAACAGATATCATATAAGCCTGAGTTCACCCAAATCCTGTTTATTCTCTTGCAATTGTGATTGCACTGTGCATACTTTATGGATCTATGAAAGGATGTAGTTATACTTTAACATACGGATAGATTTTTCCATGAGTACAAATCAGAAAAAAATTAGAGAGGAAGACCAAACCAAAAAGACAGCTGACTCTTACCAAGATGTCTTTGAAATGGATGTCCCTTCTTCTGCTGATACAAGTGATGTATTGCTTTAATGCTGGAAGTTGTGGGAAGGTGGTCGTGTTGCCCATGGAGTACAGCCATTGGCTCAATGTGAAGATAATCCTGGATGAGCTTGTGCAGAGAGGCCATGAGGTCACTGTCCTGACATCCTCTGCTGCCGTTCATGTGGATTCCGGAAAATCATCTCCTTTTAAATTTGAGACCTTCCCTACACCTTTGACTACAAAGGAATTTGAAAGACATTTCAAACATTCTGTCAATATATGGACATATGAGTTCCCCAAATACTCAATCTGGAAATTGTATTCAAAAATGCAAAGCATGTTTGAAGAACATTCTGATGTGTTGGAAAGCTTATGCAAATACATGATTTTCAATGAGAAACTTAGGAAAACGCTACAAGAATCAAAGTTTGATGTCCTGCTTGCAGACCCTGTGGTTCCCTGTGGAGAACTTCTGGCTGAGCTACTGAAAATTCCTCTTGTGTACAGTCTCCGCTTCTTCCCTGGCAATGAATATGAGAAACAGTGTGGAGGACTTCCATTTCCACCTTCCTATGTGCCTGTTGCTCTGTCTGAGCTCAGTGATCGCATGTCATTCATGGAGAGGGTGAAGAATATGATGAATGTGATTTTTTTTGACCTCTACTTTCAAACATTTAATGAGAAGAAGTGGAATCAGTTTTACAGTGAAGTTCTAGGTAAGCTACCACTTACATTATTATGATTTAATCCTAACTTTTCTGTTGCTTTGAAGATGAGCTGAAGTAAATATCAAACCTAAACACCTGAGGGAAATACAGATCAATGACATGAGAGGCTTACATTAGAGAAGCAGTTAAAACTCTGGCCATCTCCTTTTCAGAAACATTTCCAGAAAACAATAACTCTGCTACTTGAACCACAGACAATTTTTAGAAAGCATTATGTATGCATTTTACTATAGTCTTATTTCAGCTTAAAGAATAATATAACAGGAACCAGCAGCTCGTACTTGTCATCTAGCTACTTGGGAGGCTGACAGTTCAAAGCTAGCCCAGGAAGGAAAGTGTGTGAGACTTTTCTCTCCAATGAAACAGCAAAAGACCAGAAATAGAGCTGTGACTCAAGTGTAATAGAGTGTTAACTTTGAGCAAAAAAAAAAAAAATAGCTCAGGGAGAGAAGGGGTGACATGATGTTAAAAGAAATGTACTTATTACCTTATTTGTGCAACAGTAACCCCTCCTTATATCACACTTATAGTAACCTTAAAATTCAAATCTTTTACAAAGCTCAAGAACACTGCCCAGACCTAAGTTCAACCCCACGACCAGCACAAAAACAAAAAGAACACAAAGTATACATCTCATTAATATATTAATGACTATAGCTATGTAGATTTAGTCCTTACAGCTATGTTGATTTAGTCTTATAGTTGATGATTAATTACCAAAACTATGTCGCATAAAGGACAGTTTCCCAACTTTTGCAAATTAGTTTTCTCACTCACAAAGAAATCATTTACCCATAGTTGCAGGCATGATCCTTCATAATTGTTAAATATTGTTTATCTCCCAGAGAAAATGCTTTAATGACTGAAAGTCTCCCCACCTCTTTTTCCCTCTCTCTGTTCCTGGAGAGCAGGAGAATAATATTATCAGCTTATTAATATAAACCAAATGCAGTACCACCACTCAGAATTTAGTTAGACTCTCAAAAACCCACTGTACTGGAAAATCAAATTGGAGAAATCTCCTGAGATAACTTTTTTTAGAGTATTTATAGTATTAATTGATTCTGGAGATAAGAATGTTTCTAGATTTTATTTGGTACTTTTATAGCTTTGAAAAGATGTATTTTATATACAGAGTATTAACATGTGTCATTATAAATAAATATCTTTTTTCAAAACACAATATCTGAGTGTCTCACCTACATTATTCCTACTTATTTCAGAAAGTCACATGATTTGTTTCAGAGTAAATTTTTTCATGAGACTTGCTATTATGTTTTTTGTCCACTCAGGAAGACCCACTACAATACTTGAGCTCATGGCCAAAGCTGATATATGGCTCATTAGGACCTACTGGGATTTTGACTTCCCTCGCCCACTGTTACCAAATTTTGAATTTGTGGGAGGACTCCACTGCAAACCTGCCAAACCTCTGCCTGAGGTGAACCTGTCCCTGTTGGCTTGGTGCTCCCTTTCTCTCTCTTCTTTCCCTCTTGCTTTTCTTCTCCCTCTCCCTCTCCTTCTTTCTGCACTTCTTAATGGCTTTGCATCCTCTCTCAGGGGTCTCCATTAGCAAAATAGATTGAAAGAGGGGATGAAGTGTCCTGTTAGTTGTGGACTCGTGTATTTCCATTCAACTCTCTATGCTTCATGACTGTCAAGATAAAGGTAGGAAAACTGGACTCTTTGGAGAATATGATCAGTTAAATTGAGCTTTCATTGGATGTCATAAGGACGAATATATGATTCATGCAAAGATTAGTTACTAAGTGACTACAATATACCCGAAGAAAATGGTGGCTATCCTGAGAAAGAAGCAGAAACAGATTCTGAACACAGAGCTTGATTCCATTTGGATAGGGAAACTAGAAAATAAAAAATTGTCTGAAAATATTTTCATAAAGAATAGAGTAATGTTAAATAAACACAAGGAAAGCATTAACATAGAGTTCAATCGCTACTACTTCTGTTACATAAATCAGAATAATACAATAAAAATCTTGTAAAATTTGGAAACCAGATCTCTACCATTATAGCAGAATCTATTTTTTCCTGTAAACTTAGTAGTACATATTTTCAGAAATCTGTGTTCCATTATGGGATTTATTTATCTGATGGATCCTTTCTCCAATATAGTGAGTGATCTGACTGTGTCTTCTGAATGAATTAGGCTTGAAACTTATTTCTGAAATATGAGCAATTAGCTACTCCTGAGTCTTTTTAAATACTGTTTGCTTAGACTGTCAATGTCAATACATCACTTTTAGTGCATGTCTTTGACAGAGGGGTGAGACCCTTTCCAGAAGACAATTGTTACATCTCATCATTCAGATTCCATCAGTTAATTGGAAAATTAAGATCATTTACATCTAGGGTTAATATGCAAAAGTATACACTTGAATTGGTTTCTGGGGTTGTGTGAATGATCTAGTATATTCGTGTCTATGCTTCTTAATTTTTGAAAAACAATCGTAACTATTATAAGTAAAGACCAATTATAAACTTCCTCTACTTCTAGCTGGTTACATTAGTAATGTAATTAATTACATTAGTAATTAAGATAATTATCATCTAAGACTCTAAGTAGAATAATTTCTAAGAACATCTACCCCAATTGATGTATGAGGATTCTATTTCTCTTCTTCCTGTCAAAAACCTAAACAGATTATACATCTTCTTCCAAATAAAAGGAGCTAATGAGTGAACTGAGATCAGATATTATAACAAGTTTAAGCTTGTTTTCCTGCTGTTGTTCTTTGGTGATAGAGAACATTCTTTCTTCACAGGAAATGGAAAAGTTTGTCCAGAGCTCTGGAGACCAGGGTGTTGTGGTGTTTTCTCTGGGGTCAATAGTCAGTAACTTGACTGAAGAAAGAGCCAACACAATTGCATCAGGCCTTGCACAAATTCCACAAAAGGTAAACTAATGCTCTCTGGTGGACATTAACAGAATAATACTTTTTCTTTTGTATTTTATTTCTTTTTAAAAAATTTTAATGTCAAATTAATGTACATAGGGGTTACAGTTACATAAATTAGTGAGTACATTTCTTCTCTAACTTGTTATCCCTTCCCTCATTTTTTCTCCCTCTTTCCCTCCTCCCCCAGTTGCTCCCCAAGTTATACATATCATTTTCAACATATTATCTTGTTAGTATCAATGCTGCATTGGATCCCCTTTGTCCTATGTCTCACCATTATACAAAGTAAACCAATTTACCAATTCCAAATAAATAATATTCTTCAAAAACCCTTTTGAAAACACATCAGACTAACTTTGTCCTACTTGAGAAAGAGACTAAAAGTGTGGCAAAGAAAGTATTTTTTTTTAATCCAGAACAGTAAAGAATATTAGTAACTTCCTTTTCTGATACATAAAAATAGTGTAATATGCTTGTGCAATTTGGGTTTTTATGGACCTGTCAGATACAAAATAAATAAGCTTCTCAATAAATACGTGAAGTTCATCTAGAAGCACAATTACACTCATTTTTTTGAATCATGGAATATAATACTATCAAACATGTTTATGAGGAAATCTCTCAAATTAGAAAATCAATTCATTATTTTTTATTGTATGTAGGAAAATAGTTTTAATATACAATTAATTTTCTTAGAAACCTCTCTCAAACTTGGCAGATTTTATTTTATTTTATTTTGTCGTTTCTGGGCTTGAATTCTGGGCCTGGGCGCTGTTACTCAGCTCTTCAGCTCAAGGCGAGTACTCTACCACTTGAGCCACAGCACCACTCTGGGTTTTCTGCTTATGCGGTGCTGAGGATTCAAACCCAGGGCCTCACCCATGCAAGGCAAGTGCTCTACCACTGAGACCTTCCCAGTCCCAAACTTGGCAGATTTTTTAAAATTTTATTTTATTTTATTTGGGAACATACTGTACAGAGGGATTACAATTACATGAGCAGGATAATGCTTACATTTCTTACCAAGCATTGCAGCCTCCTCCTTTTGTTTACCCTTCACATCCCTTCCCAGCCTCCCCCCTCCCCCCCCCAATCCCAATCCTTCTCCTTCCCCCTCCTTCCCCCCCACCCCCGCACCAACATTGTAAAGCTCGTTTTGGACATGTCAACTTGTACTTCTCATTGTTGCAACAGATCCACCTGTATCCTTAAACAACTGGTTTTTCCCCATCTCCTCCACAAGTTATACTAACATCAAATATAGTGAAAGCAGGGGTTATACTGTGGGGGAGGGACATACAAAGCAACAGAGAGATAATTTTATAAATGCTTTAGAAACACATGCATGAAAGAAAGAAACATTAAAATACATATCTAAGGGTTCATTTTCCTGACATCACATTATCTGACCTTTTCCGCTTGACTCATACATATACTAGATATCGCATATAAGGGAAACCATGGGACCTATGTTTCTTTGGGCCTGGCTTACTTCACTTAATATAATTTTTTCCAAGTCTTTCCACTTCCTAACATAGAGGCATAGAATTTCATTGTGTATATATATACCACATTTTCTTGATCCATTCATCTACTGAGGGGCATCTGAATTGGTTCCATATCTTAGCTATGGTAAATAAGGCTGCAATAAAGATAGTCATGCTGGTAGCTTTAGTGTGGTCTTGTTTGTAAACATTTGGGTAAATGCCCAAAAGTGGGATTGCTGGGTCATAGGGGAGTTCTATGTGGAGTCTTTTGAGGAACCTCCATACTGCTTCCCAAAGTGGTTGAACAAGTTTACACTCCCACCAACAATTCAGTAAGGTTCCCTTCTGTCCACATCCCCTCCAGCGTCTGTTGTAATTAAAGTTCTTGATTTTTGCCGTTCTATCTGGGGTGAGGTGGTATCTCAATGTTGTTTTGATTTGCATTTCTTTTATGGCTAGGAAGGTTGAGCATTTCTTCGTGTGTCTATTGGCCATCCTTCTTTCCTCTTCAGAGAAGTTTCACTTTAAGTCTTTAGCCCACTTATTTATTGGGAAGTTGTTTCTTTGAGGATTTGTTGTTGGGGAATTTAATTTTTTGAGTTCCAGGTATATTTTAGGTATGAGACCCTTGTCCGTTGTATGGCTAGTGAAGATCTTTTCCCAATCCGTAGGCTTTCTATTGAGTTTCCTAGCTATGTCCTTTGCCATGCAGAAGCTCTGCAATTTCATGCAATTCCATTTGTCCAACCTTTCTATGATTTGTTGTGTTTCTGTGTCTCTATTAAGAAAATTTTGCCCTGTGCCAAGGAGACCTAGAGTTTCTCCTATTCCGTCCTGTAATGTTTTCAGAGTGTCTGCTTTGAATCTGAGGTCTTTAATCCATTTGGAGCTGATTCAAAATCAGCATTTCTTGACTTTCTGAAACTCCCCCTCCCCCTCCCAAAAACGCCATAAATCATGATAGCTAAGAAATACAGTTTCAACTGCACAATTACTTCATCTACATTTCTATGGAAAGGAGATTCCCTATAAAAGCTTCCTGATTGCCCTTTATTTCCACATTACTCTAAAAGATAATGCATAATTAATAATAAATGGAATGTAGTTATAATTTATAATCAGTTGTTTCACTTATAAAATAAGAATTTAAAAACTTTAAAACATTAGGGTCATCTACGTTTTTATATGTCTTTCTGCCAATTACGTGATCAGATTAAAATTTGGAGTGCAAGTAACACACTAACCTAGCTCAAGACTGTAATCCTAGCTACTCAAGAAGCTAGATCTAAAGATCATGGGTAGAAGCCTGGGCAGGAAAGGTAAGAATCTTAACCCAAATTAAACACTAGAAAACCAGAAGCACCCATGTAGCTTAAGTGGTAGAGCACTAACCCTGAGACAAAAAGCTCAGGGACAGCACCCAGGTCCTGAGTTTAAGTTCTATGACCAACAAAATAAACCATCAGGTTGCAGTAAGATTGTATATGCAACACGTTACCATTTT